CCAAATTAAATCCAGGTTATCCCAAATTAAATCCAGTTTATCCCAACCCAAATTAAATCCAGGTTATCCCAAATTAAATCCAGTTTATCCCAATCCAAATTGAATCCAGGTTATCCCAGCCCAAATGAAATACAGTTTATCCCTGTCAGTTTAAATTCAGTTTATCCCAAATTAAATCCAGTTTCTCCCAGCCCAGCTCCCGTCCCATCCTGGCTGAGATTGAAATTTCCAAGATTGGGATTTTTTTCCAACAATCCGACGCTTTTGGCAGGAATTGATTTCGTTTAGGGCCGAACAAATCCAGGGTTTTTCCTCCGGAGGGGAATTTAGGGTTTTTCTCCTGGCTGTTTTAGGGATAACTTGGCTTCCCAAAAACATTCCGGGGCGAACCCTGAGGATTTCAGGAAGCGGGAAAAGCAGGAAAAGACCCCCCAGGAATATTTTGACTCCGAAAACGCCCTTTGAAAAGATGAACCCCAGGAAATCCCGGCAGGTCGGCGTTGCCAGGCATGGATCGGGCTACAAACCCTTCCAGCTGGGACAACGCCGGGATTTTTTGGGAATCTGGAGGAGCTGGGAAGCACAGAGCACCCCGGGGTGAAGGCAGGCTTTGTTAGGCACGGCCTAAATGGGAGCTCCGATCGATCCCGGGCTCCCACAAACTGAGGGTTTTCCCACAGGGAGCTTTTCCCCCCTAAATCCCAAAAAACGGAGCAGGAATTGGAGCTGGAAAAGCGAGCGGGATTCCATGGAAGGTGGGCAGGGAGAGCAAAGCCCGGGAAGGAGGTTCCCCCTTCCCGACTCACCTGGAGCTCCCCAGAAGCGGATTTGGGATCGGGAGCGGGTCGGGAGCAGCGGGATCGCCGGAGCCGCTCTTCCCAAGAGCCCGGCGATCCCAGAGGCCGGCGCCGATCCCACGGGATCGATCGGGATCCATCGAGCGCGGAGGATCACGGGGGGAGGGAGGGCAGCCCACGGAACCGGCCCCAGCAGGGACGGGAATTCCAGGACCTGGAAAATGCAGCCCGGAGCCGCGGGGCTCGGGGGATTGCTGTCCCTGCGGATTTCGGGT